GCAAGCGAGTTTCCCCTAGTGTCTAAAGTTCTCTTAGGTGTGTCATTTTTCCAGGCTACATATGCATTGCTTCACTAGCCCCTAGTTGTGTAAAATTCGAAAATGATCCTGACTGGCTATTCAGGATGAAAATACATAAACATAAAGTTAATAATAGGCTTATTTTGAAAGTTACACGCTCATGCCCCTGTATTCTCCTGCACGTCATGCACGTGTAAATCTGCACTGCACATAAACACACTGAGTAAAGGCCTAATTTAAATATTCCAAATTGTAGGATATTTGAATTATACAAAACTAGGGATTAGATTGTACAAGGCATGGTGGGAACCAACATGGCGCAGCAAGATTGTAACCATGGGAATGAGGTTGTCCTCCATGTGGCATGTATTTTGCTTTTTAATGTTGTTGCTTGGCAATCATGGGCCGCGTAGTGGTTCTGCGATGTGAAACCTTAAACTCTATAATTAGTTGACTACATGTACATTGTCACTGCATTGCAGGCAATGAATCAATACAACTTTCAAGGTCCGGTTAGAAGGTTACCGTTGTACTCCTTGCTGCTGGCGCAAGGAGTACTATGTCATGTGCTATGACTAGTGTGAAAGTCGAGACTGATTAGCAGCTGAAGGCGCATTCACGTAAGTCTTCCTTCCTGCACAAATTGTGTTATGGAGAAACACGATTTTCCTTTTAATTTATTAATTCATCTTATAATGCTTCATACTAGTTGGAAAATGGCACAGTTAATCGATAAGCTGGTCTCAGCAAAGTTTGTAGTAAACACCCCAGCTACTTGCGTGCGAGAAAGGAGCATGTCATAAGGTTATGTCTCACCAAGAGTATGTCATGTAAGTGCATATTCTCATGGGAGGTTGTTCCAGTTCTGCCACTCACATTATGAATAATTCAGTCATTGGGCGGTAAGTATTTAATTCTATAATGGCCAATTTCGTACTATAAATGAGAGCTGACTGCATATTATAGGCTTACGGAGTGTTTTCATTGTGTTATCGGCACTTAACAGCTAGCTTAGTAATTCAGATTACAGGGCCAGTGATTGCAGAGAGTGCCACTCTTTCGTACATGTACTAAATGAATTTGCCCATAAATATGTACACGTATGTTTCTGGTTGCGCAGCAACTGCTGTAAAAAAATAAGTGTGTAGCAAATGGTTTAAAATGCATCTTGAACTGTGATGCGATACCGGGAAAATGCTCTGCCCCCCCCCATCTTCCTGTTTAACCACAAAATATAGAGTAAAGCACGGTCAAATATAATAAATGTCAAACTTTTTACTTACACATACTAATTCCTGACTTGCTGGTCAAATTTATGACAGATGTAAATGTACATTGCTATTGGTAGAACTCCTATGCAGCCGGTCATTATAATGATTTAGGTCATGCTCAGCAGTGACCATATGAATCACAGTTAAAATAGCTAAGAAGAGAAATCATACATTTTGTAATACATACCCATTAATCTGAATTTGTGACTTACTTTTATTTTGAAATTGCAAAACTGGCCAAACTGACCTAGTTCTCTGTTCCAAAATCCATCAATATGGAACACATATTGTATAATCACTTACCTTCTGATGATTCCTTCTTGTTATCTTTTGCATTATTTTTGTCATTTCCATCAGTCTGTACTTTTTTAGTTGCTCCAAATTCCTGTCCTGATGTCTTCCCAATGACAGGTCTAGATGTTGTTTGATCAACATTCTCCTCAGCAGCATGGATTTGTTGGCCACCATATTTTTCAAAGTTGTGGTCGTTATCATTGATGTTGGCACCATAAAAATCAGGCTTGTAGTTTCCATTTCCAATGTTGTATTCATAAAAGTCAGGACTAGGATCATTGTGGCCAGGTTCCATCTTGCGTGTACCTGTACTCATGCTGGGTGGGTTTTTGGGAGGGATGTCTGCACCTGTATGCATGTATGAAAGAAAAAAAAGAATGCATTTTCAAGAAAGGACAAAATATCCAGCTCACTACTTCATGTGCATCTAAATTCTTTACTGCAAAAATTGCGTAAAATTGTTAAAAGACATCCATGCAAATCACACTTAACTATGTGCAAGCTTTGCCACAATTTGTACAAGCAGAAAGCAGAGAAAAATTGGTAGATACCCGACTACATTAGGCCCAAAAAACAAAGTCTCCCGTTTCTGGTCAGCGCGTGTGTTGCTGTAGACCTTTGTGTCGGCAAAATAACAGTTTTTGTATTTGGTATAAAACGATGTCTAAAAGCTGCCAAACTTGTTTAACTGACTGGAACCCTGTTATCATAAAATGTTAACATGTTTTTGATGGGGTATGGTTGAGTAATATGTACAGTAAAGAAGTCCCTCTATAGTTGCTCATAAATTTAGTTGGGCACTCTTTTTCAGATGATGTCATTTCTATATTACACGTTTACATCTGGGAACAAAACAAATGAGGTGGTCTTTATGTCCTGTGTACCTGTACAAGCTGAAAATGCTTTCAACACCATGAAGTGCTGGGGCCAGTCTATTTTAGTGTAAGTTGTGGCCGGCATTACATGTACATGCAGTCGTGATGGACATCGCATGTTAACATATATCATTTCCAGAAAAAAAAAGTGATAAAAAAAAAAAAGCCGCACCACTTTTGGTGCCAGCTTCTGACCAGAAATGGGAGACTTTTTTGGCCTTATGGATGTATGATAAATAGCACTCTAAAGATCCCACCTCCACCACATCATTCCATCCATCTCACATTTTGCCCCCATCCTATCATCTCATCAATCTCTTACTCTGCCCCCACTCATCATCCGAATCCATCACCTACATGTACTCTGACCCCCGTACCATCATCTCATCAATCTTCTTTTCTGCCCCCCCCTCCATCCCATCCCAATCCATCTCCTACTCTTCCCCCTAACCCAATCATCCCAATGTGTCTTCCATCCCAACCCATGGGAGTGTGCAGTATTTTCATATACATGTATGTATGTACGTATATATAACACAATTAAAAACTTAAATGTCTGGGGCCCAATTTTTTCATTGAATATTTACAAAACAACTCTTCATAGGCAATGATCCCACATGCAGTTCTGAAACTGATAAAACTCAACTTTGAAACAAACAAGCACAAATGACAAACACCCAATACCCACAAGCAAAACTTTACATTTACATTACAGCTGGCTGGCCAGCCAGCCCACCAGACAGGACACAAAAAAAAACAATATTACATTTACTTTACAGTTCGTCAAAAAGAGAGGGTGCTTTGTTTCCCAGCAATATCATGGGAAAATATGCAAACTGATGTTTTCACTTAAGCTCTACAGTATGTCAAGTATGTACATGTTTAAACTAAATTTCATTTGGTATGTGTACAGACCTGTAGAAATAATATTAAGTTATTTTCAGCATTTTTAAAACATTGCAACATAATACATGGCATATTAACCGCTATCCTTTCCTTATCTTGCACTTAGCATCTCTATCATGAGTATTTATAATGCAACAGACTTCAATGCAATGGTAAGCAAAACTTCATTTGGTGACGGACAACACGTCACATTCCATGAGAGTTATCTTATACATGAAGAAGCATCCACTTTGATTGACTCAGATTTACTTTAGAATGGAACTGCTGTTTTTGCAGTGTTGCAGTGAATTATAAAAAGATAAGATAAAAGATAAGATTTGCCTTTATGTTAGTGTCTTACTGGAGCAACATTTCACCTCCAATTTCAAGGTGAAATTTAATCAAATTCCTAATATTCTGATTCATAGCTGTCAATTTCATTTACCCAATGAAATTTGATTTTGACCCGATTTTCCAATTTGTTCAAGAGTGCAAAATGAAACCTTTTAAAATATGCCCACAAATATTTTTTTTTACAATTTTTAAGTTGGGTATGTGAGTGGAGACATTAATGATTTCTAAGATTTTATAAATTTTAAAGAACTTTTGACATATTTTTGTGGCATTTTCTGAGATTTTTTTTCAAGAGTATCAGGTCAGTCAGCTGAATTCTTGCCCAATTTCTGGGCACCGATGTGTTTAAGTTTTGGACAAAATTCCATGACAATGAAAGTGTTCACAAAAGTGCAAAAGCCTGTATCATAAAGGCAATACAGTATCAGTATTCAGCCAGGAGCATTTCAACAGTTTTTCAAGTTGTTCAACAAGAACACCAAATGAACGTTACAGTGTGTCACGTACTACTTTATATGTACTAGCGATGAATTACGCGACACTGTCAGCACTGCAGTAAGGCTTACACACCGACTTTAACCACTTCTTGCTGGGGCACTTATCAATGTTGATGATAATGGGCTAGGATATTTATCATTTTTTCTGTTTTCAAAATTCTTTAAAAATTCCTATCTTCATTTACCGGACACTTATAAACACGTGAAGGACTGTCTGGTGGCTCCTCTAGCCTGACAGACAAAATCTATTGACGCCTGAGTATTTCAGCCAGGCCTGCAGCCTTGTAGAAAGAGCCCAGATTGTGCGGTGTTATATAACTTTCTTTTGTCACGAACCTGGCTCAGTGCGTTGCTGACTTCTTTTCAATAGGGGCCAGATTAGCATGCAGAGGTGATTTGTTGCTCATCGCTGTGATGGTAGAGCGCTTTTGTCCCCGGTGGTAGCCCGCTCACTCTAAATGCCCCAAACCGTGGTATACTGTTTCAAAACAAGGCTGGATTATCTCCACTTTTGAGAGTGAAAAATTGTTGGTAATGCCCAGCAGCCTGGTCTTTTGTTCCACGTACGGTCTTTTTTACAAGGCCCATTCCCTTTGTCCGAGTTTGGAGACCCCGTCCACGCATATAAAGCATATGTGTTTGGATCCGGAATCCCCGGCAGGGAGTGGTTAAATCTTGATTTGCAGATTTTTGCCTGGTGTGGTTTATACTCGGAATGGCTTGTATTTCCCAAATGACAATACTAAATTTGGACACGTACATGTACTTTGAACAAAAGCACATCTTGATATATTGGGTGCAATTAACCACTTGCTGCCAGGGAGCCCGGTTTTGGATACGTTTTCTTTATATGCAAAAGAAATCGGACAAAAGAGCTGGGTCTTATAACAAAAGACCTTACTCGAAACAAAAGACCGAGCTGCTGGGAATTGCCAACATTTTTCAGTTGTCAATAGAGGAGGAAATCCATCATTGTTTTGAAAGATAATACCACTGTTTGTGGCATTCAGCGCGAGCAGATTACCACCAGGGACAAAAGTGCTCCAGTGATGAGCGATACAATACCATTACACGCGAATCTAGACCCTATTTAAAAGATGCCAGCAGTATCAGGAACAAAAGAAAACTAGATAGAAGTGTTTGTAAACAAGTAAAAACACAGACCTGTTTCGGGACTGTTTCACCAACAAAATGAGTATTCACAATTGTGATGAATAAACCTGGCATCAAGAAACTACATGTATGAGCGAGTAAAACTGAACAATTTACTATTCAGACGTCACATAGCCTGAAAGAGTTACTTGGTAATTTACAATGAATTTCAACCCATGCAGTTGGATGTCCACTTCAGAAGATAATCTAACATGACTTATCAAGTGATGTCATTCTGACATTTGAGAGTTTGCCTTGTACTTTGTGGAGTTCCCAAGACTTGCTTGAAAATTATAGTATTTACTTAGAGACTTCTTAGACTGATGATGTCATCACAAGTGGATGTGATACCAGTTACAAAAATTGAATTTTTAAATGAGGGTTTTCGTGGACAAACACAGTTGCTTTGGCCCTGTTTCATTAATCTAAAACCAGAGACGAAATTCTTGACAAAGCACTCACAAGATTTAATGACAAGGGCACACAGGCGATACAGAAAACCCACTGGCCAGTGGAATACTTAAACTCCATGTCACATCGATGTGTGTCAGGAGATATAGCATATTAAATAGTGCCCCGTCATTATAACATGAGGTCCTTTTTGTCTATAACACCTCCCTTTCTAAATACTTGCCAAGTTTCAACCAAATCGGGCATGCACTTTAGGAGATATAGTGCTTTAAAAGATGCACCTTTAATGTTATGTGACTCGTTTGCTGATGATATTGTTATCACCTGAGGTCAATCTCTGTTTATAAACTTTCCCTTCCTAACTATCTGCAAGGTTTCAACCCAGTCAGACATGTACTACACAAAAAACAACACAAAACATTACTGTTATTGCAGAAAGAGCACAGATGCAATCTGCTCTCAGCACCATCTGCTCGGCATTTTGGAAGGTCCTGAGTATATGCCTATGCACTGTGCGCTGCCGGCCACACGTTACAGGCAGATATTGAGCATCCAAGCAAGTTAACAGTGTCCAATCCACAGTACGCAAGAGGGATTTTTGAGTTCGCAAATATTGTAAGGGGTTTTTCGTCGTCGGTGCTTCGTCTGAGTGAAGAAGTACACCACTAATGCATTTCATGCAGTTGACTTCAATGTTTAAGCTATCATCTAATGAACAATTCATGCTTAAATCTGTTAGTTGCTTTTTTACAGAATGAAGAATGAAAGAACTTTTTATCATAACTTTCGATCTGATAACATCATTGGCCCCAAATTTCACGTATGTGTTAACTAAGTTAAGATCATTGTCTACATAAATTTTTGGACAAACTTCCCCGCAGACATTTATTCTAAATTTATTTTTCAGAATTTTTAGCCTGTCCCTAGAGGATGCTCAACAATTACATGACGTCATCAGTAGATGATTGGAAGAATATTGTACCCCAACGGACCAACACCGTTGAAAACAACTTGATACCTTTTACCACTTTTAAATAATAAGTCCACTTCTGGTAGCAACCGGAAGGAGGGGTCATGTGATTGACCCACAAGAGATGAATTAAAGACCCAATTTTACTCTGGCACTTGCCACAAAAGAATGCTACGGGAGGCACCAGTTGATTTTATATGGATT